AAAGTGGAGCTGATCATTAGAGTAGACAGTTGTGGCTATAAAAAATGAATTCTAGTGATGATCTCACTCCTAATAATAACAAACCACACCCTTTGGGTGTGGTTTTGGTTGAAAACTACCAGGGCAAAGCCCTGGCTTGCCCGGGCCTATAGCCGCCTATGGCAGACCTGCCACAGCCACAGGTCTGCTATCATGATAGCAGACGTTGTGATAGCAGGCAGCCACGTGTGTTTTGTTCCACTGCGTGTGTTTTGTTCTACTGCGCATGCTCAGTAAACTTCAATATGGCTACTACCTTTGCTCGAGTATATTCTTTTCCAGATGGCTACCTTTGATATACTACAAGGAGCAGCAGCTACAAATTACATGTATATCACCATTTTATTATTTTCTATTATTACATCAATATTGGTAGAACTTACAAGGTTTCTGCCTCAATTGTGTTCCATCATCAGAACCTAATAATAGAATATTAATATTAGTTATGTATATTATGATTTAAAACTATCTCAACATATTAATAATAACAATTAAATGTAAGTCATGTACCTGCAATTTGTGACAGTAAGGAGCAGCAGCTACAAATTACATGTATATCACCATTTTATTATTTTCTATTATTACATCAATATTGGTAGAACTTACCGTAAGGTCTCTGCCTCAATTGTGCTCCATCATCAGAACCTAATAACAGAATATTAATATTAGTCATGATTTAAAACTATCTCTACGTATCAATAATAACAATTAAATGTAAGTCATGTACCTGCAATTTGTGACAGTTCAGAATGACCTTGATACATGTACATGTAGTTAACTATAAATTAAAATGTCATCAATAATAATTCATAAGGTAATACGTACTTCGCTCAACTGGTTGTGATGGAATTATACTGTGTCGGTCTCCTATTATAATATAAAAAATTTTGTGCACATAATTAACAATTATTTCATTTAAAAATTAAAAGGTTAACAATATTTTTGTTCACTAACTAATAAAATGAGCTCCTGTTTCACTGATCCTTTCTATGGCGTTACACAATGTGCTCCAGTTTGCTCCTCCATTAACATCAACATCGTCTGCCCTACTCAGCCATTTTGAAATGCACGCCCTAAGACATTCTTCAGCTTCCGAATAATCCGATTTGATATTGTTCAGAGTCCGTGGGTGTAACCCTAACTCCACCCCAAGACTGTGCCAGCTTCTGTCATTAAAATCTCCTTCTCTCAAATCATTGAGCACTTCTCTTAGATTTCTGATTGTCAGTGTACTCTGAGATGCTATAGGTAGTTAGTAAAAAGCTA